TTATAGTGCCCTGTAGTGTATATAGCGGACAGTATTGCTCGCTTAATGCGACACTTTTCAGGAACGCATTTACCACCCTAAGCGAGGAATTGCCGTACATGAGTACTTTTATTTTAAAGCAGATTATTATATGGTCATGTGGTTTTTTTCTTGTAATATACAGCTCTTGACTCTGGGTTAGGAAAGTTGCGCGTTCAAAATCCTGGCTAGGGATCAAATACGCAGCATACGTTTTAGAAAAAGAGGCGTGCACGATACCGTGATGTGGAAAACGATTGGCTATTTATGGTCGCTCTGGAATGTCTTCAAGGTAGTCCTGATGAGTTTGTCCAAAGTCTAACAGCCGTCTATTGTGCAAGCATGGCTTTTATTGATCCTGAGAGGGTAGGCGTGTGTGTGCGTGTCGGGTCATGGTGCAGGCCACCCACCCACTCGTGTAACTGCTGGCCTTCATAGGTGCTCGCTAACAGCACTTGCCCCAAGAGTCTGTTAAGGCTACATGGGGGATCTTGTGTCAGGGGTTGTGCAGACAGCGAAATCTATTTTGTTGGGCTGAGTCAAGTATGAATCAAGTAACCCCGGATTTTGCGGCATTGTTCGCACAGAGGAAGGGTAGTATCATGTGAGTGGGTTTACTTCAGGGAAATGTAAAAAGAAGAAAGCTAAAGGCAAACTCTAATCCACAGGGTGGGGGATTTACACCACTGATCCTGCCATGTCCACGATTGTACTGCACTTATCCGTTAAAAAGTCACAGATAAGAGGATGAATTTGCCAATCATGTATTTTCTGTGAAAAATGTGAGCAATTATGACATTTCCCAATGTAAATGCCAAAACAAGAGGATGATCAAGGCCTATGGATAAGCCACAGAGATTAGGATGTATTTGCTATGTAAATCGACTTTACTGCCATAAATGTGGGGACAATAAGAACATTGTTTTAGTGGATACTAAAACGCACTGTTTTTAACATTGCGTGTGTACTGCCCACAGCCATGGAATTGCGTAGGTATGACTCCCTGGCCATGCCAATGTTAATGTTGCCCCTTTAAAATGCTAAGTTAATGGATATTTAAAGATCCTTCTGGGGGTCACGGTCAGGCGGTTTTCTATGTAAAAGTCAGGCTTATGCAAAAATAATAGGTTTTGCTCCTGGCCATAATTCCCTGCAGGATGTTTTGTTGGTCATTCATCAGCAGTGGAATGGACATTTAAAATACCGTTGTTCATTTGCTGCCCGCTTGATTTGTTTTTGCATGGATGATAGGACCAATTCCCACGCAACTCCTCCAAGCTGTAGAAAGAATATGTGGATAATAGGAAACCTTATTACAATGGAGGATAGAAAAACCCCACAGATTCGTGGATAAGAGGGAGAATTTGAGTGGATAATAGCACCTGCAGATAATAGGGTCATAGATAAGAGGAGTTCTACTTGTGTGACATCCCTGGAATGTGGAATATCCATGGGTTGGGAAGAGTTTCATCGAACGGTGGACTGATCATGGCTGATCATAATGATGATCTCGTACAAAGTTGGATGCAAATTATAGACCGCGGAGAGATTGAGCCGAGTGAAACGATTTTAAATTTCTGAATATTGTAATGCTACTATTTTCTCCATAAAATTCTTTACACATTTAGCAAATTTTTACTTCAATGATATGTTAACAGTCTGGTTAAGGAGACTCGAAATGTACAAACACTTAATTACGTGGTTGGTTCGCGTTGCTCCATTATCGCCGACACAAAATTCCTGAGTTTGCAATCGGGCTACGCAACCCTCCACTGGACTGTCTCAATAAAGTCCTCCTAGATGATTGAGCGATTTTCTTTTGCAACCTGCCGTAGGACAACATAACTCCCCGTACACATGAATCCCCATTAGCCGCGACTCCTGTTATTGAAAGTGCAATTTCACCTATAATTAATATTACCATACTTGACCGGAATAATAATTCAAATGGAAAATAGCCTGATTCAAACAATTGCACGGTAAAACGCTGTACGGTTGCCACATTAACATCGCAGAAGGGGATAATCTCCATGGAAGTAACTCGTGAACAGGATTGTTAATGTAACCCATGAACAGCATTGTTTTGCAATGTTAATTTTTTAAAATCTTCGACAGAGCGATTTACAAACTTTACTTTGTTCGGGGGGTGCCCCCCAGACACAACCCTTTCACTGTGCAACATATCTGGGACACGGTATATATCCACTCACTGCTTGCGATAACAATAATAAACATCGTAATGTAACATTAATGATCCATAACCCGCCACCACCCGACACAGCCAATTAGGAAGGTTTGTCCCGTAAATATAAAATGGCAATTCGTTACTGCTGGAGAGCAAATCCACAACATTTACAATTTGCTCTCCAACACACCGGTCTTCTGTACTAGTAACGAATTGGCATGTTCTGTTTACGTGACAAACTTTAGTAATTGGCTGTGTCGTGTGTTGGCTGGTTTAACGGCACATTTATATTTACGGGATCTAACCGAAAAAAACCTATGTTGGGGATGATATTGGTCGTGAATGCCTACGTATTAAATTATGACTTAACAATGAATTAATATTTGCGTTGGTTTGGTTAATACGGCAGTAGCTGCCAGTGTGCCTGATGGAAGGCGGTGCGTGAGCGTAAAGACAAGCCCAAGCTGTGGAATGGTCACTCCTGATGTACAGTCTTGTGGTTCACAAGTCTCTCCGCTCAAACTGTGCATTGCGAAACCACCACCAGCAGCAGCTTGTGCGTGTGTGGCTTTCCTCATCACCTCATTTCACTATGATTGCTCAATCACGCTCGGTGGCGGGGACACAGTTGAACAAACACCACAGATCCTGCTGTCAATTCCTGTTTGACTGCGTTGTGTATTGGGGCTGTATGGCATAGACCCGCATTTAGTGGACACATAACAGTATTTTACACTTACGCTTTATTTTACTTTTGCTACGATCGTACTGTATTCGAGTGGCAATATTTTAAGTGTTACGTTCTAAAGGGCTGTTTTAAACTAACAAAAGAATGTGAATTTATGCTCCGTCAGCGTGGTTTGAATTGCGATCCGGGGAAAAGTGCTGACAGCAGCAAGAAAAGCTATTTCTCGAGAAATTATCATTTAGGCAAAGTTCGTTGCTGATGTTCTAGCTGACGTGGGTGGGTCATGTGTCAGCTCGACATTCCTGCCGGTCTGAAAAAGCCAGCTGTGCCCCAACTCCTCGTTTATAAACACGCTTTTAGAACTGAATCCCATTTGAAATGCAAATGAGAAAGTTGTTTTTTTAAATACATTTAACGTGTGCAGTGATTTTCTTTAATTTCGTGTACTGTATTTATATTAATAAAGTTAAAATGATACCTCTTCAGTCAACGGTGAGGAAGGTACATCAATAGCCAACGGTCTTATTGGCTGGTACGTGACCTTTTACCAGGTAATTTAATACAGTTCCTTTTGTGGAAACGTAAAATATCAAGATTGTTTTATCCCAGTACTGTTTATCAAACTGGGCTCTACGGCTTTACTACGTTTTAGAGACTTAAGTTTATCAACACAAAGTGAATTCCGGCTCAAATGAGCTTAGAGGCGGTGCTCATATCCTGTATAGAGCCCTGAGCTGGTGCTGGAAATTCCACATTCCCCTGGTGGGTGTGAGTCTATCGGTAAAACAAACACATGTTTACATTCCCACAGAGCGCTTTATACTTTATTAACCCTGGAGGGATGATGATCTCCGTCAGCCCCCAGCCAGGATTTGAAGTTGCAAACTTAGTTCATGAAATTGCATTGCTGACGTATGCATGGGACTATTTCAATAATTAAAAAAAGCTAAGCTAGATAATTGGTCCCCGAATGTTATGAACCCCCACCACTCTTGTTCCTATCTCGGCAGCCACTGGGACCCGGAGATGAACGGCTCCGACTCGGGAATGGACAGCAATGAGGGCCCCGTGTTGGAGGACTTGTACGAGGATAAGTCTGGAGATACCGACGACCAGGATGACGACAACACGGATGACGATTTGGATGAGAATGAGGACAGCGGTAAAGGGGAAGACAAAAAGAATCCTGGCGATGAGCCCGGTGAGTACGAAGGTGATCGCTGTTGAAGTAGCTTGAGGATTTGGTGGCTAGCTAGAAGAGTTGTATGACCAAGAGGAACAGCCACTGTTTGCCACTAAGTGGTGTGGTGACTTCACCACGGTGCTTGTCAGGCTAGGTGCACTTTTAAGCCGCGTGAAGTGTCGAAGACTTGCTTGCAGGAGGTCACGGGACAAACCCAGGTGCCATGGGTTGACTGACTGAAATGACTGCCAGTTGCCCCACCTGTGCCCCCCCCTACTGTGCCAACTCGATGCGGTTTAGCTACCAGAAGCTCCGCTCGTTGTTGTGAGCGTCGCTTCTCTAGCTTCTCTACCTTCCGCTGCTGCTCTCGGGCAACTGCCTCCAACTGCCCAGTAGAATCTTTACCTCCTCCATCGAGGCCAATATTGACACTGCTGATGCGACTAAGGCACATGTAAGAAACCTATCACACAGTGGTAAACATTTTGTGCATCATCACAACAAATTTTGATTTAAATTTCGATTTAAAGCTTTCGTGACTGCAGGGATTAATATTCTTGGTTCTTTCGGTAAAGTCATGTAGAAGGGAAATAATAAAGTAATAAAACAGAATAAAATAAAATTATCACCACGTTTCGGTCACAACGTAATGCAGCCGTCCTCAGGTGAAGAACAGAGCTGTCGGAAAGACAGCGTCCTAATGAACACTTCTAAGCTTGGCAGCGTATGCTAAATTCCTCTGTTGATATGTAAACTCCTTTGTCAAGGCGCTCTCGTCCTCCCACACAGCTTAAAATACGCTGCCAAGCTTCGTTGTGGGTTTACTCTGTGGAGAAATCGTAACGAATTTTCATGTTTTGCTTACGTGACAAACCTTGCTAATTGGCTGTGCCTCCGGGTGTTGGTGGGTTTAACGACTCATTTATATTTACACTACCTAACCCAAAAAAACCTCGATTAAGGCCTCTATAGCTTTGCTGATATTGGGAGCCGAGTGATCGAGGGGTACATATTGAACCACACTACTTGCATAAGTATTAAGGCCTTTTCATCATCATCCTGATAATTTTGCCAGCTCCCGAAGGGACGATGGGCTGAGTCGAATCCCAACTGGCCTTTGCGCTTGCAGCCGTCTTCATTGCGACTGGGCACTCCGGCCACGTGGCAAACTCGCTGCATATCTACGAATGAGTCGGCAGAACAAAAATAAACTTGCTTCCAGTCACTGAAGGGTCCCTTGTTCAGGGCAGGTTAATGATGTCTATTGACTGATTAAACAATGGATAGAGTTTATTCTAGACCCATTCCAGTGTTTTCCATCTGGCAAGCAAAGAGAAAATGCTGTACCTACACCTAGTTGCAATGACATCATTAAAAACGAGTGACATTAGGTCACAGGAACCAAAAATCCCGTTTAAAGGAGGATAAGCAAATAAATAAAAAGTTGAAGGTCGAAAGCAAAAATACATCACCAGTTAAGGATATTTATTGAAACTTAAACAGCCACACATGAAAAATCTACTGTATAAGAATGTTGTAGAATGTATTGATTGGTTCGCTAGGTTTTGTTTACCATGCTACGATACGAGCGCTCTTCTGAAAGAGCATGTGAGGAGAGAGTCCCACTGCTAAAACAAGATAAGAGGAGATCCCTGTGGATTGCACAACAAATTATTCGCTGTGCTTACCTTGAGGGGGTGTGCTCTCTGTGTTATCTTGAGGTGAAGTCCGTGCCTTGGTACAAACTGATAAGTAGTTAAACACGTAAGTATAAAACGCGGACATTGCGCTATACAGCTCTCCAAGGGGTCGTCGCACTATTGCCGCATGCTGTTCGGCACGATGGCCAACGGTTTTGCTGCACGTGCCGGGAGCTTCTTCAGGGACTGAATTTGCGTTCATAACGCCGGGAATCGCGCCCAACAGCACGCGGTGCAACCTGGACACCCGTCGGAGAGAGAAACGGACATTCTCGATTGGGGCTTGTGTTTATTGGGCCTTCATTGTGGAAGTCTGCAGGATCAACATCCCTTCTGCAGCTCTCATCACACAATCATTTGTAGAGGCTACGTAGTTAGCGTTGCATCAGCCCATAGCCGTTACAATAGATGACATTTTAATTCCTATAGTAATTAGATGTGTAAAAAATAACCTCGCTAAAATTGTGATCAGAATGGGAGACAAATGTGGAGTAGATAAGTGTAATACAGTACGCAGCCATTATTCAGTCCACTGCTGGATGAAGACCTCTCCACACCATGCCGGCCAGTGGGGTTTTGTGACCATACTTCACCATATTGGCTGTGCAGTTTTGGGAAGAGGGCCTTCCATGACCCTGGCACCCATATCAGTCGTGGCACCACTGTTCCCCCGAAAAGAGTGTATGAAAGAAAAATGAACCTCTTGTTTAAAACAAACTTAAAGAACAGCATAGACAATCGCAGGCAGAGAACAAAATGAGGGCCGTTTTGAGGGCGAATATTTTGGACCTCAAGAAATGACCGCGAGAGTAGCTATTTAGAATTCCCTCGAGTGAAGGTCTTTTTCTCAGCAGTGGCTACAAGTTTTACATGCAACCCCCAACACCTGTTAACCCGCTGCTGGCGGTGATACCCAAAGTACAGCAGCATCGCCAAAACAGTGGTTCACAGTGTGATGTGTCGATGAAACAATAGAACTTCCTCTCGTGTGCAACATTGTGGGTGTGCCACATCGTACTTGGCCAATAGGGCCTCGTATCTGACTTCCTGAAATGGTGACTGGAAATTTGTTGGTGGGAAGTTGCTGACCGAAAGTGTCACTGGAGCATTACCAGAAGAGCCTTGCCCTGGGGTTCTTCCAGTCAATACAGAGATGGCTGGGTGGCTCCGAGATCAGAGGTAGTACGAAGCTGGCAGTGCAGAAATCATGGGTTTGAATCCAGGTGGCCACCCTTCATTAATCTTCCGCGAGTGAGTTTGATGGTCTCAGAGCAGCCACCAGTGACCGCACACAAAAGAAAAAAATTGGTGTTTCATATTAAATCTGCTTTTTGCGCTTATTTCCTGGTCGGACAAATAAATATGAGTTTGACTGCCATTTAGCAAAACGTCTCCGAGCACAGTACATGGGAAAGTGTGAGACCCATGCCATGAAAGTGATTGTATTATTACGAAGAAAATCTCTTCCACGGCAATTTGTGATGCGTTTCGCGTGCTGTGCCATGACGCCACGGGCACAATTGGAATACTTTTGGTGAAAGAGATCCCAAAGAAAATGATGAGTTTCTTGCATTGAGATTTCCAGTGATGGAATTTTTTTTTTTCCAGAGGAATGGAAAGTTAAGGCAAACGATCGAGAGTTCAACGGCCAATTCACGGTCCCAAAATATCACTGTATGAAGCAAAAACGGTACAAGGTGAGTGTGCATTGGATAAGCGAATTCTACTTTTACATACACACATTTATTGTTAACGTTCATTCAACTGCAGTGAATTGTGACCGGTCCACCTTGCTTCACATTTTTCAAAGAGGACTGCCACTCCATTATATTAATAACCTGTATCACGCGGGCCTTTTCATTTCAGGGGAATTACATCAAAACTGCCAAGTACAACATTGTGACTTTTCTGCCCATGAATCTGCTTGAGCAATTCCAGCGGGTGGCCAATGTGTACTTTTTGTTCCTGCTGATCCTGCAGGTAAGCATATTGTCAGCCCGTGGAAGCGTGATAATTTCCTGCTGGTGTGCCCTGAGCTTTACCATGTTGTGTTTGGTAATGAAAACGAATGGTTTTTGCCTGCAATAGCTAGGGTATCATAACACATCGAGTGTATATATATATTTTAGAAACGTCTGTAACCAGTGTTTAATTTCAGTCAGAACAGTTCAGAATGCTGTTTCGGGAATACATCTTACGACGTCGCATCCATGTCGTGTTATTTTGTCCGTATGATACGGCGGTGGTGTGGAAAAAAAAAACCCCTTTTGTGTTAATAGTGCGCAGGGTCACTAGGTGTCTTTAAGGAGGGGACTCAAATTTTACTTCCTAGTCCTTAATATTAAACTGTCATTAATGAGGACGCACTCATGTCTTTCATGTTAAAGTACGCGGCATGTGACGTCACGCAGCCTAGCAGCGTGAGAAATTAAGCCCTGCTTGTAGCTATGAAAGGTTCCACCAATATTCATGTTTGGTGAAGGGCACGGTGAAAGACTTCCACTGCGCCACTTAAGGGTCCCTTTGTGCCAAGACTGAAGAATGGATCCTTGTGTTGTCATTGCCGACTGCAGGTCCTGCCTGTGTTTGCATAATTGCTGTACATTCACAATACTAAAACTGCCTAGGAGGAGACTATATATAATTTTAGCATTACACGTCAGATAAATATTTGGAGTTATACTCTTCATAATTTGTATTTATTTCTTGGTGGTAGAATTAGAATGCAATTTCTCATGGATAATATGAGTTGACTTGTACTATATTCGAAATACAAGCCTTTATTTTCTTCTGTGAGAACCCATTTAGTGTTAAATTGGTTAGGCAAGGAAGAACTTGAAAACTTTACTACAGCTTTATCTGTCATTTGAATTACGATTATACTGTAAACTGTTGCTTGTCGTGCAATATTTTCCATCTTTGTCCCTCTTTCGCATTGTGTACTTTAGTCTCTTACCTTCTGTTTCATTCAGCTGCTCAGTGTCCTGTCGCGTACCTCTGCTGTCTGTGTCTCCATTGCTGATCTTTGTATCTCTCCTTGCAGGCCATCCCAATCATCTCGTCCCTGGCGTGGTACACCACCTTTGTACCGCTGGTTATTGTGCTCTCAATCACGGCCATCAAGGATGCTGTGGATGATATTGTGAGTTAAACCAGGATAGCCGACGCCTAAAGTCAATATAGCTTCCTTTCGTACGGTGGCTTAAACTTAACTGTGAGAGACGTTCGGTACTAAATATATTACTGTAAGCATAAATTGTAGCTTTGTCAACAAATATTACATCAACCCCTCTTTATCTCCTATGGCAACCCCCACGTTTCATACGTAACGTTATTAATTTAGCATGTTGGTCTCTCTTACCTCTTAAAATACATAGCACTGGTAATAAGATAGGGTGTTTCCGTACAAAGGAGCACGTACCACTACCTGCCTGCCTGCCTACCCGCAGGAGGTGGCATTTCCAATCGGCAACTCCTTTGTTGAGGAAATATTGTTCCAATATTAATGCTGCCGTGCTCGTTGGAAACTTTTCTGAATCCTTCAACGTAGAAATTTCAGAAGAGTAAGCATTCATTAATCTTAATTTGATAATGATATTGTACATATTATTGTTTGATGTAGTGTTGGTTGCCACCTGCGGGGGCAGTTTAGCCTTGACAAACCGACTGAGTCTCTTTGTGTGGTTTTCACCTGCTACAATAAAACCTCGAGTTTGTTGTCTTTCCCCGGACCTCCGATTACCGCTGTTGGCTATGTACAGTACGACAGAAGTTCAACATACGTATCATATTTCAGTATCCTTAATCCATGAGTCCTCCGTTTTCAAATATTCTTTAGTTACCTCTGTACTTTAAGGACAATGGTGTGGTAGGTTCGTGTTGTGTTCTAGCCAGTGTGAAATGTAATGTTTCATTATTTGCTTGTTCTAAATGGTGAGCCCACTTTGTAAATACTCTGCCTTTAACATTTGTTTTGTTTTCAGTCAAGGCACAGAAGTGACAAGCAGATCAATAACAGGAAATGTGAAATAATGCAAAATGGAAGGTGAGATGAGTGTCTGGAATATGTGGCTGTGTCAATTCGGTGTCATTGTGGGCAACATGAACTATCGCATTATTTAACTTTTGAGACATTACTTTGTCATAACTCGCTGCACCATTTTCCATTGCAGCTTCAAAGAAGATAAGTGGATGAATATACAAGTGGGAGACCTCTTAAGGCTAAAGAAAAATGATTTTGTGCCAGTAAGTTCAACTAGCCCTTTTGATTAGATGCCCTAGTTAACATGCCAGCAACATCTGGCCATTGCCATCCACTTAATTTGTTAGTGTGCTTGTGAATAGTGTAACATGTACATTGTGAATACTGTTAGCATTGAAATTACCCCTAAAAGCAATAACCTGCAGTGTAACTCCTCAACTAAACCGACGTGTAGGGGCAAGGGTTAGAGATAAGTTTCCATTCTCAATAAAGATACATCCCATGTTGCCTCATGCACAGTGTACCTGGTTTACCTTTCTTTGTCACGTGTGTTGCGAAATGGTGCAACCCACAACACACACTGCATTCAGTCATGGGAACAATTTCCGTTGACTTTGGTTGAAGTAATCATTGATGATGCAGTCTCTCGGAGGCTGGAGAGACGGGTGTCCCAACGATAAAATATTTAAAATAGAAAGACTAAACCAGCTGTGATGATGCAGGGAATGTCGTCTATAAGAAACGCGCTCCTAATGGTTGCCTTGTTTGGCTGCATCTTGTGATGCTGGCGTGTGATGTCACACCGTGTATTATGGCGATGACTTCCATCCTTTAAGGAAGTGAGCCATCCTGTGGAGGATGACGCATCTAGCATCCGTTCAAAAACCAGAAACACGTTTCGCCTCGTGATCATTTAACAACTTTACTTTTCACAGTCTTTCCTGTAAGGATCATAATATCATTGTTTAGCGACCCGAGTTCAATTCCTGGCCATGGCTATCAGCAGTGGCAAATTACATTTGAGCCTAGCCCCCCTTTTGCCAAACTGCACTGACATGCATAGATTCATGGTCAGGGGCCTATACATTATCCTTTTTATTACAACTATGCATAAAAACGGTAGTATATGCTGTGTCTGTAACTGTTGCTGTTGGTCTTGCCCTGCGACTCTGTCTAGGCTGATATGCTGCTGCTATCTACAACAGAACCCAACAGCCTGTGTTATCTGGAGACAGCTGAGCTGGACGGGTAATCCTTTGGCCTGACCCTTTGCTGCACTCTGTTTCTTTGATCTCAGGCTCTAAAGTAGGATTGCATCTCATCGTTTGATGATGATAATTTGTTTTTCGATAGTGTGATTCGGGCAAATTGCATCTCAAACCTCTTAACATTTTAACCCCCAACACAAACCTCTTACAATATAACAAAAATTAACATTAAAAAGGTACGAGAACACAACAGTGATAAGGGTGCCGTGTTATTGGCGGTGCTCTTTTATGAGCTGTTGAACTCGAGTTCCGTGTCCCTCGGAGATTCGTTCTTCAGTCCAACACAATCCAATGATAAAATGTAATATAATCATTGTTGTATTTAGCACTCTGTCAATAGACAACATGAATGTAGGTTAATGTGCGTTTCCCATGTGTTGTTTTACTAGAGAGTCCAACCTCAAGTTCAAGCAGGCCTTGACGGTGACGCACAACAATCTGACAGATGAAAAACAACTCGCTGAATTTGATGGTGAGTCCATTGCGGTTCACCCTGGCCTGATGCTACTACAGGGCCTGGTGCTACTACAGGGCCTGGTGCTACTACAGGATTGGTGCTACTACAGGGCCTGGTGCTACTATAGGATTGGTGCTACTACAGGGCCTGGTGCTACTACAGGGCCTGGTGCTACTACAGGATTGGTGCTACTACAGGGCCTAGTGCTACTACAGGGCCCGGTGCTACTACAGGATTGGTGCTACTACAGGGTACTACTACAGGGCCTGGTGCTACACAGGATTGAGAACAACGGGGGCTTGGTGACGTTGCCACGCTGGTGCTGCTTGCTGCAGAGTTGCGCGTCTTCAAGCCCCAGTGGCCGCCCTGGTTAATACTGAGGAGTGTACGAACCATTACAAAATCTTAACGTCCGTTCAATCTGAAACGCATCCCTCGCACCGCACCACTGCACCTACGGATAAATCGCTGTGTCGTGTGCCGTGTTGCTCGTGCGTTCCGCATCTGTTCTTAAGTCGTCTCCATTTGACATGTGTTGTATAAAATAACATAGCAAAAGCAAAGCATCTTACGTTCCCCTACTCCGCTCTCGTCTCCCCCAATCCTAATCCTTCCACTTCACTGAGTTCAGCCATAATTATGAGCGAGGCTCCCAACAACCGCTTGGACAAGTACCTGGGCACCATGCAGTGGAAGGACAAGATGTACTCGCTGGACAATGACAAGCTGCTTCTTCGCGGCTGTCGCATCCGGAACACGGAAACTTGCCACGGACTCGTGATCTTTGCAGGTACACGGAGCCCCAAGCCAAACACTCGGGTCATTCAAGTCCACTTTGAGAATTTCTAACGTGGGTTCCAAATATGCTGGAAAATTGCCTCCTGTATAGCGCTGTGATTAAATGGCTATTTAGCACGTGGGCTTTTTTACATCCAGTATTATTATTCAAAATAGATTTTTTTTGGGTTGGGCAGCGTAATGATCTCGCCCAAATGTCTGTCGTAAGACCCTCCTCCACTGACCCAAAACAAGGTAGTACACCTCTGACTGCAAAAGTGCCGAAAGGACATTCCATTGTTTTATGGAATGGAGACTAGCACTTATGGAATGCATTTGTGAGAAAAGGGAAGATGAAAATAGATTAAAAAACAAAAGTAATTTTCGAAAGTGGATACAAATCGTGAATGAATTTTGAAAGAGAATAAATGCATACCTATCTCTAAAATCTCTGCAGTCTTGACCGTTTGTGGTCTTCTTGTTGTGGTCAGTGTTGTTTTGTTGAATAAAAATTATTTTAAGTTATGTGATGCGCACTGTCAACTTGCAGAGACATTAACTCACTCATTTGTAGCTTTGCAACAAAGGACATTCAGACGCACATATCAAATGTATTAAGCCAGGGATAATAGTGCATCGGGGCTGTAGTCCCGGAAGAGTACTTTCAATAATGCGCTGAGCTGAGACTATAGCCGAAGCCTCAGCAATGCGTGTGTGTACATTGCATATCTATGCCAGGCGAACACTGCATGATGTCTGTCACTCACGGCTATGATTTGAATTTAATTTTTATTTTGTTTCCAGGTTTTGACACCAAAATAATGAAAAACAGTGGGGAGACCAAGTTCAAGAGGACACAAATTGATAAGCAAATGAACAAAATCGTTTTTATGGTAAGCTTTAAAAAATGCTATCGTTGCTTTGATCAAACGCAAGTGCGTTTAAAAAAGAACTGGAACATTTGCGCAAGATACCAACACTGCCTTTTTTGTGTTATTTTCATTCTAGTTGCACATTCTATTCCTGGAAAATTAGGTCCTCCATAGTGAATAATTGGCAAAGTCATCTTCGAATTTTACATTCTTGTTTATAAAAATGGCATTTCACGCTGGTTTCCACCCTGTAGATACTACTTTTAGCCAGATTGCCATCATTTTGATGAGACTGATGGCAATTTCTAAGATTGTTTCCAGATTTTTTTTCAAACTTGTATTGGTGGGCATTTCATTCGTAATAATTTGCTATTTATATACACTGTCGAAATACCATGAACATCTTAAGACAGTGCAACACAGGGCACCCATATACATACGAATGCTACATCCAGACAAAATACAAACAATTTATTAAAATAAATATATGGGTTGGGTAGATTTAGCGGTGGAATTCCACACAGTTGAGAAAATCACATTCTGTTTTGTGGCTGACGATTAAGACTGGATTCATTTTTATGTGTGGTTATGCAGAGCTACATGAAATTAAGATCATGTTTAAGATTATTTAGTAAGGGCCCTTCAACTGTAATTCCATTGTTTATGTGCCGTAGAATTACTGCAAGTAGTTCGCACAACTTAAGCATGTAAAGTGGAATGTACAATATGTCACGTGACCATTTTGCTAATTGAGTTTCTTTTTATGATTTCACCGTTGAGCATGTTAGCAATCTGACACGGCAAACAAATTTGTAGAGTGCATGTCCAAATCACTTGTAATCAAACGAAGTATTTAATGCCATTACCATTGTGTTGCCTGTCTGGGTGAGACCATTCCTCCAAATCCAATAGCATTGTTTCCGATTGGTGTGTGCAGAAGCTTGACGGTGTTTTGTGTGTTTTTTTTGTGTGTGTCTGTGTGTGCATGCAGATTTTCGGCATGCTGCTTGTGATGGCCACTGGTCTTGCTATTGGCAATACCATATGGGAGGTCGTCCATGGGCAGGGCTTTGGGAAATATTGCAGTGGCATCACCGGAGACCCTGCCGTTCCCTCCCCCGACACAGTGAGTGAATGGGCGGTTTGGACCGGCTTCCTCAATTTCTGGGGCTACATCATCCTTCTCAACACCGTGGTGCCGATCTCGCTTTACGTCAGGTGAGTCGCACAAAACACAAAACAACGCCTTCGAGGAGATCTCGCGCGCTTTGTGTTACCCTCAATATGAAGTTCAAATGCAAACAGGGTCTAGTTACGATCTGTTGTCGTTCATGGTTCTAAGTCGTTGAAGTAAAACGCCGCATACACCAGAGGCAGATCTAGAAACTTTCTGAGGTAGATGAGGGGGGAGGTGGTGCCAAACTTGCAACATCAAAAATCATTTAATGCATTCTCTCTGCTAAATATTAATAAAATAAAACATGTCGGCCTCAATCGGCAGGAAGGGGGGCATTGCCACGATTGCTGTACCCCCCCCGCCTCCCCTTGGATCCGGCTCTTACCATTGACCTGCCGGTTAGAAAGCCAACTGCAGTTCACCTACTCGGCGATGTTTTGCAACGACTTAAATGCACCTCGTAGTCATCTACCTTCATTAGCCAACATGCCCTGGGATCTATAGAGCCACACTACTACTGGCTCCAGCCAAGTTGCAGTAACACTGCAATAACCCTGTAGGTAGGACTAAGCTTTTGTGTGTTTCTCTCCACGTCAGCGCATGTCCGTGTGGTTCCATGTTTCTCTCCATATCTGTGCGCGTGTCCGTGTCTCTCTCCGGCATCTCCTGCATCTCGCTGTTCCTCGCTGACTGCTCAGAGCTCCGACTCAGTGTTGAGGTGGCTCCCCTTAACCCGGCGGTTCCAAGCAACCGAAACAACCGCTGTGCCAGCGACGCAGCCCCCATCCTCGGCACTTTGTTTTGTTGTTGCCCCCAATGGGCACTGCACCGCAGTTGATTGCGCAGTAGAATTAAGCGATTGCGCAATCGCAACATCACAACCACGGCTTTCTATAAATGCTGCACTGCCACATGTTGCATTTCTCATCGTATGTAGGTGCAGTAAAATCGCAGATTAAACGGCAGTTTCATTTGACCTTCTCGTGGGTGCACCCCTCACTCGGGACTTTATACTTCTCCATTCATTGAGGGGCGACCCATGAGTCCTTGGCAACCCTTTGGTCGGGCACGGTGATGCACACCTGTGATCCAGCACCAAAGGTGCACCTCCGATTAGCCCCGCACCTCCGATTAGCACGGTTGGCGATGTACGGAGTGAAAGACGTTCTACATACATACATTGTTTGTGACACTCCAAAACTGTCCAGGCTGTGGGATGGCCAGGAGATGGCAGTACAGGAGATGCATTTGTGAACATTTGAGTGGTCTCTTGATATGCGAGGATTTTTTTCTGCTTACTTGAATGTCCCTTCGAGCGCAAAACACTCCTTGCAATGTAACTGGCCAAATATCGCAATGCAGGGACCTTGAGACCCATTAAAGACTTAACATTTCTGAGTCTCAGCAGTCTTATCTAAATAATTGACATTGTTAATTATATAGCTGAGAGTGCTTCTCCTTGCAGGCTTTTTTGTATTGCAGGCCTTGAGGCCTCTACATTGTAGTTGTAACTATAATAAACAAATAGACACACACTGACTTCCGAGTGCTGCTGTGTGGTGTGTCGTTGTCGCGCAGCGTGGAAGTCATCCGCTTGGGCCAGAGCTTCTTCATAAACTGGGACTTGCGGATGTACTTCAAGGTGAACGATACTCCGTCTAACGCGCGCACCACCACGCTCAACGAGGAGCTGGGCCAGATCGAGTACATCTTCACCGACAAGACGGGCACGCTCACGCAGAACATCATGACCTTCAAGAAGTGCTCCATCTCAGGAATGGCCTTTGGTGGGTGTGGAGAGTTTGGTGGTGGAATCCTCCGGACGTGTGATGCATTTTGTGAAATTTTTAAATTGTAGCGGAACGAGAGCAAGGCTTAATGGAGATGAAGGGTGAACGGAGGGAGGAGCGTTTGATGGAATTAATCAGCTGTGTGTGCTTTTAACCAAAACACAAGGGCGCTGTATTGACGAGACCAAAAGTGTTGAGGCGGTGCGTGTTTGACCGCTTGGCAGTATGGGGAAAAAACTGTGCATGGCTCCACTTGCGGTCTGTGACTGTGGAATCAATACGTTGTAAGCTGTTGCATTTTGTTGCAAGTTCATGTGTTGTCGGTTGAATGTTATATTTAGCATTTCTGTTTATTTTACCATCACAGGCAACACTGCAAAGGAAGCAAAAACGCGTTCAGTTAGAAAGGTAAGCATTCGTTCAAATTAAAATCATGACTCGGTGACGATAAATAAGGATACTTCAATAAGGCGCTCGGCAAGTTGTGAATGTCTACTCATTAAAATGCCCCTTCACTCACCAAACCTGCAAGGTTAGAGGTTAGTCCAGGAGTTGTGTCGGTAAAACCAGTGCACGATAGGTGGCTCAAACCATACTTTTAAAATTGCTGTGTTCCTACGCTACAGCACTGCACACGTCATTGTACAACTGCCATTTGTACAGAGGACACGTGGGCATGTGTAGCCGGTCCACTCAGTCCCTTTCCTCCCGTCGTGAATCCTGTCGATAGGGGGGGGGGGACACGCCGACGACAGGTCGGCTGAATAGACAACAACAACGATAAAAATAATAAAGTTCGGAGACGATGAGTAGACTCTGCGTTGGGTTCTGTCCTCCGGAGAAGTGGGGGGTGACTTCAGAAGGGCAAATTGCATATCTGCAATAGCGATCAGAGACGCCCTCCACGCCACAACACCGCAGCTGAATTCCTCAGCGCCAAGTCTGCCCAAATCTAAATTGAGGGTGTGCCTGGTACTATGCTGTGCACTTGGGGCTCTGGGTCCAATCTCTGATCACCTTCGCAGTCACTTAGAATAATAATAAAATGTACCTGGCTACCTGTCGCTATGCAAAATGGTTTCCTAGGTTCCCGTATGCTAGAGAGTGCACAATTATACAGTACGTGTGATTTGATCATCGCGGGTGAGCTCACACGGGGCAATAGGCATGCAACCATCCCAGGCAATTGTGCTCTCGTTATCACTCGGAAAGCTCAACAACGTGGAGAGCCTACACGGGCGGAGTGACGGATGAGGGATGCAGCCACGAGTGGAGAACCAAAGCGCCGTGCCTTGGGTTTGAGTTGTCAAAGATCTGGCATGTGGACGAGGGTTATTGTGCAGACCCGTGGCATTTTTTTACAACGCCTGCAGGCAACTGTTGCCTTTTGTAAATTGCTCCACTCTTTTATGATGAATGCGCATTCGATAAAGTCCTTTATCCTTTGCACAAGTTATTGGAAATGCTTTGTGTACTTCCACCCAGTGAAAAACATATTGCATGTTAATGCAAATTTATAAACTCCGCTCATTTTATTGCTGGGGGCAGTGCAGCAGTAAACACTTGTGCTTCATAGAAATAAGCGTCTGAGTTCAATTCCCAACTGTGTTGAATGTGTATGTTCTCCCCTGTCCTGCGTGAGTTTCTTCTGCTTTTCTCCAGTTTCTTTCCTTGGCTAAGAAAATAAACATACACGCACTAAAACACACAATGTCATTGATGTTGGCAAAACATTCTAATATAGGACCCTCCTGAAATAACTGGCAGTTACTACTTCTCTCGCAAAAGTGTCAAGACTCCTGCCCACGTGATTTGTGAGAGTGCCGTGCATTCTCGCACCTCTGGGGCTAACGCGTGGCATGGGTACCACAGAACCCCGTGGATTGGAGCTGGAACGAGCGGGCTGACAAGAATTTCGAGTTTCACGATCACAGTCTGGTTAACCTGGTGCGCCTAAAGAAGGACCCCACCGCTTGCGAATTCTTCAAGCTGCTCGCGCTCTGCCACACTGTCATGGCGGAAGAAAAAGAGGGTACGGCTCTCCGGGCGGCACTATGCCCCCCCCCCTGTGAACGGCATGCAGGGATTTACACGCGGGCAGTGTTGGGGAACCTTAATTCCCACTCGGGTACACTTAAATGGATGAGCATGCAATTATACACGCAGCCTTTGAAGTAGTGGTACATTTATTTAGTTAAACGGGCGGCGTTGAGAATTTAGACTTAAAGAATTGTCTGCATGTTAGAAGTATGTAGCGTGATATTGATGTAGTGCTGAATTAAAATTTCACATTCAGTATAATCAATGAAATTGTAGTTAGTTTGGTTGATATTTAAATAAATATATAGGAAATTGCAAACAGTTTACTCTTGAAAAAGGAGAAAAAACTCTTTCTATGATTCAATAAACAATGTTTGTCTATCTTGCATGGCTAGAAAGATTGTGTACTGGCATTACTTAACATTTCAATTGCAACAACCGGCGTCGCAATAACGTTAGCCTAGCTTGCTGGGGAGCTACATTTTATTTTCAAGCACTTAAATATTCGTCACCAAAGGGTGACGTAAAACGGTGCCAGTCCGTTTGCCATGCAGCGTGACGGAGCAGGAGCCTGTCCCCCCCGCTGCTTGTCGGGAGAAGTGGTGGCGCGTGAAGCCAAGCCGTGTGCCGCCTCTGGCAGGTGACCTAATTTACCAGGCTCAGTCGCCAGACGAGGGGGCGTTGGTGACGGCCGCCCGCAACTTTGGCTACGTGTTCTTGGACCGCACGCTGGAGAGCGTGACCATCGTCGAGCTGGGCACCGAGCGCGTCTATGAGCTGCTCAACATCCTGGACTTCAACAGCGACCGCAAGCGCATGTCCGTCATCGGTGAGGGACGTGTGTGCAGCAATCCCCCCGCCGGTGTGCGAAACGTTGAACGTGAACTCGCACGGAAGCGCGCAGTCGTGCGTGCGCTGGCTCTGGCAGGAAATCGTTGCTGTAGGCCAACTGACTCATGATTGAAGCAGACAGAGTCGAAGCTGAAATCAATAAAAAAAAAATCCGTGCTATGTAATGCATATGTACGGGGTAAGTGGTTGGCTCACTGCGCTATGAACCTGGCCACCCGAGTTCAATTTCCGTGGTTAACTTCTGCGACGAGTGACATCTGAATCGGTCATGGATCTCGTGCCCTCTTCGTCACCAGCCGGCACCGGCCAGCGCGTGCGGACTTATGGTCAAAAAACCCCCCATCGCCGACATGGCATGGGGAGGGCTTCAACCAGTAGTGGATTCATCTTCTTTGGTTATTTCGGTAAAGTCACGTAGAATGAGAATAAAATAATAAATTGATAAAATAAAATAACACAATAATATTCTCACGACGTTTCGGCCACAACACAAGCGGCCTTCATCAGGTGAAGGGACGAGACTGTCTGGTAGGACTCCAGCGCTGTCCTACCAGACAGTCTCGTCCCTTCACCTGATGAAGGCCGCTTGTGTTGTGGCCGAAACGTCGTGAGAATATTATTGTGTTATTTTATCAATTTATTATTTTATTCTCATTCTACGTGACTTTACCGAAAGAACCAAAGAAGATGAATCATTGCAGTCACGAAAGCTTTAAATCGAAAAAAATCAGTAGTGGATTGTCAAAGGGCTGTGAAATAAAATAATAAAAATATACTGTTACAGTAGAGTGCATGTTATAATATCTCTTTGACCAGGTAAGTGTTCGTACAACATACCAAATTTAAAAAAACACACACTTGGGTATATTTTTTGGTCGGGTAAGATAATGCCCTGGCAGCTTGCTGAGCATGCACATTGCATAAAGGAACATGCGAAGGAATGTAAACCACTGTAACGCCACTGACGGGTTATTCAGGTGTAACGCCTTCATAAATAATGTGGGTTTGTGATATTTTTGTTGTTGTACAATTACGTAACAAAACGTTCATTATTATATAGCAAAGCTGCATGTTCACTCATGACATGCGACGGCTATAAAATGCTGGAAGGCCTCTTAAGTTCGTAAGCACGTGGGGTTGACGTGCTTTCACGAGACCACATTATGGTTTGTTAAATGTCACTTCCATTGTGGGTTTGTGTGTTTGGTTATGAATGTACGCTTGCGTGTGTCTGTGCGTGTGTGCGTGTCTGCGTGCGTGTCTGTGTGCGTGTGTGTGCCTGAGTATGTATGTGTGTGCGTGCGTTTGTGTATGCGTGTCTGTGTGTGTGTGTGTGCGCGCGTGCGCGTGCCTGCATGTGTGTGTGTTTCTGCTCTCGTTATTGCAGTCCGGAGCCCAGAAGGAAAGTTGCGATTATACTGCAAAGGAGCCGACACGGTGATCCTGGAAAGGCTTCAGAAGGATGACCCAAATCGTGAAAGTACAGAGAAGGACCTCAATGTAGGTCACCATCAGAGTTACCATTTGAAATTACATTTTTTTAATTCATAATAAAGCTACGTCCAGTAGACGTGCCGTGAAGTAAAGTTGTATCGCAGTTGTTACGAGACCCAATTCGTGTCCCACTGGCAGTTCACACGTGTGGCAGTGAATGTCGGCTGTGAATGGTTGTTAATGAGGCCAGGAAAAAGTCACGTCACAGGTCTACTTCCAAAGGAAGTGGCTTAAATTGCCAGTTGTCCATACAACACGATCCACCGTCTCACTTGCCCTGAACAGAGGGAGGCTTCGTGGAATGGAAATCAAGCCGAAATGTGTAATTCCTGAGAGCAGAATAATAAGATGAATGGCATTGATGTTGCGATGGTGCTGAGACTGTCACCGTTGTATGGAGGGGCGCTGCCTTCGCCATCCAGCCACTTGGCTGAATCCACGCTTCTCTACTTGAAATACTGCTTGGTCATGGAGATGTATAAAGGACAGTTTTATTCCCTGACATAAATGCTAACCGAGTTGAAATATTTACGGTGAAAGGCACTGGAAACCATCCCGCAATGTGTCGCGTGTATTCTTCTGTTGTGGACGATGAACCGTGCAGATGACCGCGAGTAGTGTGACGGCATTGTTACTGTTACCGTTACTTTACAAAATCTTATTTGACCTTAAACATCATGTACCAGCACACAATATGGATCCGATTACCAGCTTTTAGTCCCTGGTATTTAGGGATTTACAGTGACAATTTAGTCATATCAATTGATGACTGGTGCAACACAATCGATTCAACTAGAAGGCTTTTTTTTCTAGACAACACTGGAGGATGAGAGTAGTGCTTGATTATGGGTCCATGTCTTCACCAGTCTATTAAACGTTGGTCGTAGGTTAATCTTACTTGATGCGGCTCTGACTGCAGGTATTGGTGTTTGGGAGATGTGCTTGGCTTGGCTGCGCATGTGCGCCTGTTGCGATTGCGTTCAAAAGCGTGATGTTCCATCTATCTTTACAGACATTTGCTGCCGAGAGCCTACGCACGCTGTGCCTGTCGTACAAGGACCTGAGCGAGGAGGAGTACCTGGATTGGAGCAAGAAGTACGAACAGGCCAGCATGTCCCTCACCGACCGTGAGAAGAAGCAGGGCCTTGTGTACGAGAAGATTGAAACAAACTTGAAGGTAAGCTACGTCCGTAGGACTCGCGCCGTACAGTTGTGATACAAGTTATACGTTCCCCGGTAACGTCGGTGGACAGCCTATAATCTGTTAAAGACTAGGGCAGCTTGATTGTTATTAGTGAAAGAAAATTTAAGAGCATGCTCAAATGCTGTGACTAAACCAGATTCTTAAGTGTCGCAAGTTGTATAGGCTTAGTCTTTTGTCATCAATGGCTACACGATGGGAGCTATACTATATATAAAATTGGTTTTCACTTAATTCTGCCCAGCCCATATCTAAATTAGATATTGGTTAATTAAGAGGCATCTACAGCAACCAAGAAGGAAAATGATGTGGATCTAGCCGTGTTGCCACCCATCCAGATTTTCATCCTGTTTCTGAGGTAGCTGTCCTGGGAAACCTGTAAGCCTTCCAGGAACATTAAACATTAAAAGTCTGAGCTTTTGTCATTTACATTTAGTTCTTCTGGTATTGTGAGATATTATTCGATTTTCGTTCATCCCAATTTTAAGTTTAATTTTCTATCTCAGAGGTGGCAGCACGAGTGGGATCTTGTATGGGGGAGGGTAATACAATAGAAACAATTATGTGGTGTCAGTTCCATTGCCCTTTACAACCTCTGAATGGTCTTGAATGGTCTTCTCAGAAATGGTGATGTGCTGCTCACAAATCATCTCGTGCCTTCGCAGCTCTTAGGAGCGACGGCCATCGAGGACAAGCTTCAAGATGGTGTCCCGGAGGCAATCGCCAAACTGGCAGCAGCAAAGATAAAGATTTGGGTCTTAACAGGAGACAAACAAGGTACTCTTCTGCCTCTTGTAGTTTACCACGGTTTGCGATAATTGTTTACTCTACAATTAAATGGCTTCACTTCTATGTATGTTGAACTTTTTTCGTATCGTAAGTCGCCATCCATCCTCATGTATGAAAAGTGTTTTAAAGGAAGTGTTATTTTCACATTTAAAAACGAATGAATTTAATGTTTTAAAACTAATTAAAATAATTCTAATCACTGACATTATTTTTATCAGATCTTTTAACAAGGCCTGTAGGTTATATAACATGCATGCGTAGTGGCATAGTGTTGGCTGCTGGCGAAAAAGGGGAACTGCGGTGTACAGCAGTATTCAACTCAGCAGGCCATGATAGACACGAGTGGGGGACATCTAGGGGGGAAAGGTCACAGAGGGGGGCCCATGGAGAAGCCTCGGGAACCCGCGAGTAGGTTCCAGAGAGGGGGCGGGGCGGAGCGAGGCCACGCTGAGAATATAAGGAAGGCCCCTGTGAGGGACCTCGTGGCTGTTGTTGGAGTGGGATCCCTGTCGTGCTGCTCAAGGTCATCGCCATCATCGCCGTCGTCGTCACTCCACATTGCACTGCTAGACGGTAGTTGGCCGTCTCGGTTCAGCGCCGTCAGTGTTAGACGGTTAGTGTTGTGTAGAGGCTAGCGACAGTAATAGTGTGTACCCACGTAGTGTTGTGTAGAGGCGAGCAACTGTAGAGTATACCCACATAGGGTGTGTATTATACCGCTGGTGCTCGTTAATAAAAGAAGTGCCTCCAAGTCTTATCGTCACCGAGTTAGTCACTACACTTGCATAACTACTTAAACGTTGCTTCAAGATGATATGTTATCAGTGGTCTGAAATAATTAAGTGCTTTTTGAGTAACCCACTATAATTGGGTTTTTTGGGTGTTATCTTCTTAACATGCTTACATCAAACACACAAATCGTGTTGTTATTTTGTTTTTTCCCTCGCAGAAACCGCAGAAAATATTGGCTACGCCTGTCATCTTCTTACTGAAGACATGCAAATATGCTATGGAGACGAAGTTAGGTAAAGCATACTATGTTTGCACTGTACACAACATAGTCGTCCCTTTACCAGGCACATTTATACGAGTGAGTTTCTACGCACTTAATCATACACAGGACATCTGTGAAAAGGAGCTTCATAGCTCATCGGATTCCTCCAGTATGAATACAGATTCTGATTTGTTACAAACGCACAATCTGCGGCGTTGCACTGGCGGAGGCTCCGCAAGGCCTCTGGAATTGTTGCAGATTCTAGATTCTCTTCACAAAGTACCAGATTAGTTTCTGTTTACTGCGTTGTGCCCTGATAAAACATTTTGAGCGATGACAGTGATCCTGTGGGTCCAGAAAATTTGGGAACTAATTCTATGTCGTAAACCAGTTCCTTTGCGTAATAACTCTGGACTTTAAGCCAAGGTTCAGATGTGCCTGCACCGCATTATATTATAAACTTTAGTCACACTGTGCCATCCACTCAATCATCCATCAATCGTAAATGGATATTTTGCATCTATAATAATTGTGTTTTCAATCAGAATGCTTCTTGTCACCGCATACTGCATACGAGTGTCTGTGTCCAAAACCTGGTATGGTGGAGCCATGTGTCTGTGGGTTCAGCACTGGTGGTTACGATTTGTGTAATGTCTGTGCTTCCAGTACAATGCTGAGTGATGTACAAGAGTGCCAGACGATCAAGAGAGATGCGAAGGGAAATGAAGAGGAAGTTGACTTCGCAAAGCAGTTTCTCAAGGGGAAAAAAAATGCGATCATTATAACTGGTGGCTGTCTGGTAAGGCTCCTGTTTTTAATCTGCGAAATATTATGGCATGTTATCAAATAGTTGTGCGTCGAGCTAAGAAAAATGTCTAACTGGGGAGGGCCTTTGCCGATAAGCAACCGGCAGTTCGCCAGCATTGGTTCAAGCAAGCGTGACTGCTGATGAGACACTGCAATGTTTAAACCGGTCAAGAGTTTGCTTGCATTGAACTAATGCTGCTGAAGTTGTGTGCTCCCAGATGACTGTATGTAAAAAAAAAACATTTTTACGTGGAAAAACAGTTGTCAGGAGATATATTGTCTTATTTATGTTATTCAATAATAATGTATGGTATATCAAGTTAGTTATTACTTGATCATGTGTGTGCCTAAGATTTTCTTTGACTCTTGAAAGATATCAGGAAAATCACCGATCCTCTTCCTGATGATTATTTAATATTATACATGGCTCTGCTGTCAGAGTAGAGTTCCATAATATAAAATACTTAATCTGTCATTGTTTTGTGAAAAAAAGTATCCAAACCTCTACAACCAAGGGGAGAGCCCACTGAGGCTGCAAGTCTTTGTTTTCACGAGAGCAAACACGCGGGTTAAAAAATCAAATGCAGTACTAAAAACAGCTAATTGCACAGCAGGATATGTAGTGTAAACTATCTTACATAAATCACTTGGGAACAAAGCCAACGAAAACTATTCGGAGCCAAAAAATAACACAGATCAGCTGAAGGCAAAAACTACACGAGGAAGAACAACAACAATCATAATTAATGATTAGAAGATTGGTAAGAAACGGGGAATAATTGATGTATCCATATATTTCTTCTCATGTGATTTTTCTATAGTTTTTTCTACAGTTGTCAAAACGAATTGTTAGATTTCCATATTTAGAGAAACATTCTATGTACGTATGTACATATGTTGAACGTCTTTCGCACTGTACGGTAGCAACGCGTGCTAATCGTCGGCGCGAGGTGTGCCTGCCAATTCACGACTCCGATCCTGGACGCGCTGTTGTGTGGGTATTTTTTTGCAGAACGGCATCCTGACCGACAACAAACAGAAACGTCTGGACAGACTCAAACTGCCCAGGCGGCGCAAGCCCAGGGGCGGTGGAGCAACGGGAGCAGCAGCAGCAGCAGCAGGCCACGATGTCTCCATGGAGCAGCTCGGCGACGCGAGGCAGCAGGCGGAGCAGCGGGAGGAGGAGAAGCAAAGGGAGATCCTGAAGAGGGAGAGGATCGAGAAGCGCTTCGTGAGCCTGGCCTGTGCCTGCGAGGCGGTGATCTGCTGCCGCGTGTCGCCCCGTCAGAAGGCGCGCGTCGTGCGCATGGTGATGAAACACAAGCAGGCCGTCACCCTGGCCATCGGCGATGGCGCCAACGACGTCAACATGATCAAGAGTGAGGCATCGCCCCCCCCCCCCCTTCCATTTCCCTTTCGCCGAGCTGGTGGTCGACGGCTCGAGACGTCGTGAGCTGGGCAAGGTGCACCTCTCTTTTGTTGATGTGTGACTGGAACAATTCGGCTGGTGCCGCCGTGATCGGAGCCCATTAGCTCACAGTGGGAAGGTTACGAGTTCAAAATCGTGGTCAGGGATTCGTTCAGACGGTCATCATCATTATGCACGGTTGATAACAATGAGTACCGTTTTACGGAACATCAAAAATCTTTTTGCATGCAGATACTCGCCCGTGCAACAGACATGTGCCGAGTTGCCCTAGAAGTGTGTGATGTGGGGCTTTAACAGCTTCCAGAGGTCGCGCCGGACTCTTGCTGAGCCGCGTCTCCCCCTCCGTCTCCCTTGCAGCGGCTCACATCGGCGTGGGCATCAGCGGGCAGGAGGGCATGCAGGCCGTCCTGTCCAGCGACTACTCCTTCGCTCAGTTCCGTTTCCTGGAGCGCCTGCTACTCGTGCACGGCCGCTGGTCCTACCTGCGCATGTGCAAGTTCCTGCAGTACTTCTTCTACAAGAACTTCGCCTTCACGCTCGTTCACTTCTGGTTCAGCTTCTTCAATGGCTTCTCCGCCCAGGTGAGACATTGTGTACACACACGCGGGTGCGTTCCGCACTATCGCTCTCTCCTGGCACGGCCGGCGGTTGAGACGATGGAGCAGGTTGCTTGAATGCCACCCCTCGTGCCACCTCGCCTCTGTTCAACCAGCAGCACGACATGAGAACACCGGAGTTAGTCAATCGGCAGTCCTAAATTGAAAACTCGTTTCTTGAGAACTGCTTTTTGTGTTTAATTCGTTGTCCGCCCCCCGCACCTCCGATCAGCACGGTTAGTTACGTACGGTGCAAAAGAAGTTCTGCATGCACACGTACATTATATGTGACCCTGAAAGTGATATATGTGTAAAACTTGGACACCTCCAATATGATGAGACAGGTGCCTCGCATACGTACGTGACCAATGGGTTGATTAATGAAGTACGATGTCTTGGCAGGCTGTGTACGACGATTGGTACATCACCCTCTACAACATGTTGTACTCGGCTCTGCCCGTGCTGGTGATGGGACTTTTTGATCAGGTAAGGAAGGCCTTTTCTCTCAATAGCTCTGTTCTTGCGTGCCAAGTGCCACCGATCTCCGCTCAACACCCCCCTTCTGCCTTATTTTCACGTCCGCGCACACTCTGGGTCAACTCCTTTCCCGTTGTTTTTTTTTTCTTCACGGAGACGTAAAAATTGCCCCATGAACAGAGCCCTGGTCATAGAAAATGTATTTACAAGCAGCAAACTGCTTTCCCCATCATCATCGTCATCATTACCAACCATGATCAATCCACTGCTGGGAGAAGGTCACCCCAAGTCATTGCCATATCTCGCGCTTCTGCGACGTAGCAATCCGTCATCAAACACCTGCATCCCGAGCTCATGTCATTGCTCCATCTCCGCAGCGTGCGTGCTTTCGGGCACATTGCCTACTTTGGCTGCTACTTTGACTTAGTCTCGAGCACAGGCCATCATCCCCTCTCGCAATGTCGTTCTGCCCCACAGCCTACTTACGTTCGTCAACGCTTTTAATTATGTCATTAACCTTTGTGTGGTCTTGAATCCATGCATTCTTCCATTTCTCAACGCAATTCCAAGCACGAATCTTTCCACGTTTATTGTGCGCTTTTAGATTAATTTGTATGCCCTAGTTTGTTGAGAGCGTGTCTGCTTGGACAAATAATAATTAACTAAGAAACACCATTGGAAGCAAAATGGACTCGGTGGAATTTGACGCGTGCTACTTTGCAGCATGCGATGTGTTGTGTGTGCATCGACCTGCTATAACACCCGAGGGCAGCACGATTTCACCATCTATGGACGCAAGGTTGCCTGCAAGTAGCGATTTGTCGAACAACCGAGGAGTGTAAATCCCCCCCCCCCCCCCCCCCGCGCCCCGCCACGGTTCGCGATGTGTTAAAGTGGGGTGGCCCCGTGATAACAAACGTGAGGTTTTCGCCACCTCACACGACACGTCACGTGACGCATCACGTGACGTGTCGTGTGATGGGGATGTCACACCTTGGAGGACCCAGCGACCCAGCACAAGCGATCAGAAGCTTAGCCGCAGCTGTGATATCGCAGTCGGCAGTGAGGTTGTTTGTGGCCATCGTCAAACCTGTCCGCGAATCCACCCGTTCATGCGGATGGGAGAATTCACGGATACATTGAAATGTTTTGGATGTTCTGCTGTCGGGTGAAGTCACGTAAAAGAGTCTCCCGGCTTAAAAGGCCATATGGCATTGCCCATGTTAGTTGACGACCACAAACCAACTTTTGGGATTGCATTTTATCATTGTGGGGAGCGACGTGCTTATGGAACCACTTTTTTGTGTTTAGTTTGTTGTCCTTCACCTCTGATTAGCATGGTTGGCTATGAAAGAAGATGATTCAAAATACGTACGTACAGTTCACGTGTGGGTACTGTCACCTCTTACAAGACGTCTGGACAGTATGGAAGAGTAGACCAAATTACCTTTAGAGGAGCTGTCTAGAACTCTATTGGAGGCCCTTTCACCAGCAATGGCGTGAGCAAGACATTCCAACAGATAACTACCGTCTCCTTAAAGTGGTACTCATTTTATACAGGAATAGGTAGCATTCAAAACGATTGCTATGGGGAGGGAGGGAGGGAGGGGCGGGGTGGGCGGTATTCGATGTTCAGCATCGTGCATCGGTGCGTGCAGGACGTGAGCGACTCCAAGAGTTTCAAGTTCCCGGAGCTGTACGAAACTGGACAAAAAAACCTCAACTTCAACTACAAGATCTTTGGGAGATGCCTGATACAAGGCATCATCACCTCGCTCATTATCTTCTTCATCCCGTACGGTGCCTTCCTGGAGACGATGCGAAGCGATGGCCTGGCACCCGACGACTACCAGTCCTTTGCCGTCGTCACAGCCACTTCCCTCACCTTGATCGTCAACTTACAGGTACAAGGTGGAGTGGGAGTTGCCGCCGGATGCTGAGCTGGCTAGGCTAACAAACGGGTCGCGGGGGGGAGGTGTGGTTCTTGTCTTGATTAATTTCTTTATTTACAGTTTGTAAGGCATATAGTGTTCGTTCCCTCTCAGAGAGAGAATGATCCACATGTGCGTGAAATCACAAGCAAGTGGGAAAGCAGCCGGAACTGGCGCCAACAATTGCCCAAGCTCTCTGGTCCTATACTGGGATGTTTGGCTAACTCCTTTGATGAGTGTTTATACATGGGAGAATAACCATATATGCAAAGGGGGGCTACCACTCAGTGTCTTTACAGATGGAGTTAAATCCGCTTTGCTGTTCTGCCCATACGTTGTAGAGCCAGGAAATAGTGACCTCGACACCCATGGGTAGGGAGTTCCACAAACACAAGTTGTCATCTCCCATCCCTTGCCTCCGAAGCGCTAGGATGGGAAAATGCTGCACACCTGCTAACCTATCAGTAACTCATATTGTTCTGTTTTTCTATTATAGATAACAAAAATATCAATTACCATTCATGTGACCAATAACATGATTGGATGTCACTTTTCCAAAGTAGAATCATTATTTTTAAACGTGCTTCTTTTGCAAACATATTCATAGCTAGTCATTTGGAAGACCCAACAAAAAAAAAACCTTGAACACCTTAACGTTGGCATCGTGAGCAACCCAAAACCAAAACCTTGGCCTTCATCTCAAACTACGTTTTCTCTTTTCCAGATTGGCCTGGACACAGCATTCTGGACATACTTAAACACTTTCTCAATTTTTGGAAGCATCGCTCTCTACTTTGCCATCATGTTTGACTTGCACAGCGACGGCCTGCACTACATCTTCCCAAGCAATTTCAAGTTCACAGGTTTGCAAACGGCTTGTCTCTGCTGTACGACAACGAGGTGTACGGATACTGCTGTCCCACCTAAGCTTTCAAATGCGATTTAGAGTATAGTGCATAATACAGGTTTTTTTGGGGTTAGAACTCGTAAATATAAATGTGTATCCATATATGCTGTAGTTTTTAGAGCTATTTCAAATATATATACAAAAATTATTCAGATGTTAACCCTAGAACCGGAAGAAAATGTCGTTGGGTATTTTAGGTGGGCCAGCGACATGGGGGCTCGTTCACGTCCGTGTAGTCGGGGTTTGTATCCAGCGAGCTGGTACAGCCACACAACACAGTCGGTGGCTGTACATCCAAACGGGAGTACACTAGAGCCCGTCATCCGTCTTGAGGCCAATAACACGGGCATCGATCGATGATGACACGAGCTTCACGAGCATGACTTTGTGGGAAGTCCCAACAGAGGTATGACTCGTATTGGATCGGTGATTGTTCGTCAGGGAGACTTGGCCCCCTTCTATAGGATGGTGGAATTTCCACTGCTGTCTCAGCATCGATGACGATGAATGCCCCCCCCTCCCCCACTCCATACTGATTTGAGCAGAAAATGAGGGTCTGCATTCAGTGCAGACCCTCATGACAGCCACAAAAGTCCGTCACGGACCGGTCTTTACTCTGAAAACATAAGCACACTGGCTGGCAATCACGGTAAATGTACATCAATTAATAGTGGGTGAAGCACTTTAAAGAATGCGTACAATGTGCTTGTATTACACATATATAAATGTGAATAACGATGGAACGTCTTGCGTCGCGCTGTTGTGGAATTCCAGGAACGGCCAGCAACTCCCTGAAGCAGCCGTACCTGTGGCTGATCATCATCTTGACAGTGGCCATTGCTCTCCTACCTGTCATTGCCATCAGGTTCTTCGTTCGTTGTACCAAGCCTACACTTCTCGATAAGGTACAGAGTGCTCATAAGTTGTACTCTATGAAGAGTACTGTAAGACTGTTATTTGCTGCCATTTACTTGTGCTGTTGGGATGGAGTGATGGCTCAGCGGTGAGCACACTGCATTATGAACCGGGCAACCAGAGTTCAAATCCCGGCCACGACTAACATCAGTGGCGAGTGATAACCAAACTCATCCTGAGCAAACCCCCCTTGACTTTTAACCCATACTGATCAGCGTGGTGAAGTATGGTGAGACAACCTCCATGACACATGGTGTGGGGAGGTCTTGCAGCAGTGGATTGACAACGCGTTGTAAATTATGATATATTAACACCTTGTGCATTTTGGAAGTTTGGCACCGAGTGAAGCATTTGTTTTTCTTGCATGAACTCTTTAAGATGGTAGTCGCGCTCACATTGGGAGGAAACCTGGAAGTGATTTAGTTTTACCACAAGCACTAGACATGGCTCATGTTATTGAGCGCTTTCTTATTTCCCATCTTTTTAAAAAGCCCACATGGCTGAGCCAGACTGAATTCAGAAGATATATTTACGTTGTGTATAGCGATAAGTCTAATGAACCCATTAGCCTCATGAGTCAAAGAACGATCTCCTCATTGCTAAGGTAGACGAACCTGGCACTACTGATAGCCATGGCTGATGATCATACTCGGGTCAAGAAATTGATAGCACATGGTGATAACTATTTTGTTCCTACAAGTAATGCACTTTGGTTTAATAACAATTCCGAGAGCATTGGAAGTGGCCTCAAAAAACAATATTCATCACAGGCCGCACAAATGCAGGTGTCACAGCACTGGGAGTACCACCAATCATACCTGGTCGCCTCTCTCACCCCCCTGCATTCGCTGCCGACGGCTGAAACCGCCTCAGGGATGCCGAGAATGCGCACGTTTGAGACTCCTTATCGCGGTTGCTCGTATCGCGGAACGATCGGATGCACTCATTACGCAAAGGTGCAAGGGGGACGTATATTATTATTATTATTAACGTTGCTTGGGAAACGCCCGCCGTGCAGATCCAAGATGGCATCCACAAAGCGATGCCACCCGCACGGGAGCCCTTCAAGCGGCTGGGCACCATGCGGCGTTCCACCTACGCGTACTCGCACACGAAGGGCTTCGGCGACCTCATCACGTCCGGCCGTAGCATACGCAGGAAGAACCCGACGGCGAAGCCCAGGGCCGAAGAGGTGGTGCACCAACATGGCCGATACACGAAGAGCGATCCGGAGGTGCAGAGCATCGCCGACTCGACGGTCAAGGTGCCCATCGACACAGGCAACGTGGCCGATAGCTCCATCTTGATATAACACGAAGTCAAACGAACTCGAACCAACACGTCAACTTGGGCCTTGACTTCATTGTGTGGTAAATTGCACGGGATCACCTTTGTGTGGGAAGGGTTCATTCTGCCGCAGTTAACATGGAAATATGTCTGTTCCAGATAAGTGCCTTACAGCTGTGGCTTTAGGGGCCCAGTGTCTTTATTTTATGTGTGTTTTATTGTACGAGGTTGGAGTCCTTGTCGATGTGATAATGTTGCACAATTTGTGGGGCTTTCATACGTGAATGCCTGGGCATATTCTTGTTTAACAGTATAACTTCTCAAAAGTACTGTATTTTCTACAACTTGCTTTTTTTGTCATGCAAGAGTAGGGACATCTCTTTCATCTGGGTGGTGTAGACCTTTTATACTACAGCACCGAGATTCTATTCATTTTAATACCAATAGTTTTTACATCAGGAGCCACTAATACATCGAAAAAGGTTATGTAATTTATATTCTTTAGTTTTGCAAATTAAATAGAAATGTGAAAAGTGTTTTTTGATATTGGTTGTCATTTTACATCTTAACAGGGAGAAAATGCTGTAAATGAAGTGGGGGGAAACCCGATGGTATTGCCATGAGCTGAAAATCGCTAAGCTTATTTGCAAAATTATTATATGTTTGCAAAAAAAAAGAATAATTTAAAACTGTTCGTCATAATAAAAAAATGTTTTCCATGTATCGAATGTTCAATAGAAATGAAAATATTTTATCCATGTGTATTTTTTTTTACTTATTCACATTCTTTGAAACCGTGCCAGCATACCTGTGAGAAAAATAATGTCCAGCAGTTGTCCTGTAGAGGTGTCGAAGCTATTTGGTTAACAATGTGGTGTGTAGAGTTTGGTGTCTGCATTGGATGAGAAACAATTACATAACCTTTCATTTCTGAACCTCCAACCCAGCTCTAGATATCATAACGACATGCTTTGCATTTTCTTCCTGCATCTCCTACACTTAAAACAGTGGGTATATAGGACACATTGGGATCCTGGCCATAAGTGTTCCATTTTGGAATTGCTCGTTTATTTGTAGGTTAAGACATGGCAAACAAATGAATTTAGGCTATGGTGTAAATTATCTCTGCCAGGGCATTGATTTGCCCACAATTCATAAAGTGTTGGTGTTTACCAAAAATTGCAATGGATCGTCACGAGAAAGAACATTTCTCAAGTTCAGGGATGTTATTGCGTACTCCCATTGAAGTGCTTATGTGCCATTGTAGTTAATTTCTGTTCTGTAAAATAGTTAATATTTTGAGCATTATTTAAATCCATTTGTGTAAATCTAGATCTACTGTTATGCAACTTAGTTAAATGCATTATTCTTCTTTGAAAATATCAGGTACAACGTTTTTATTTCCTGGGAGTGGGACATGTTACTCGATAGGAGTGCAGATTTCCTTGTGCAGTTGGCGATTTTTTTTCTGAAGCACAGTTTTTTACATTGCATCTGTGCATTTGGGGCTAACTTACACATGCAGCCCTGGTAAGTACCTTGGGTAACATTTCCGTTTAACTTCAGGATTTGTTTTAACATGTAAATAAATGTTTAAAATGTGTTTTGCGGTTGTCTTCGAATTATTTCAAGTAGAACATTCAAATTGTGTTGGAGCAGAAGTGCTCTGTAACATAAATATTATGAGACCTCCTTTGCCAGAAACAAGATATAGGAATAGGTTTTACCCTTTTAACTGGCACAAAAACTGACACCTTTATTCAAGGCATCATGTTTGCTATAACCACAACACAAGCAGTCAAAATGCCTTTTGGCGTCTTCTGGTCCAACACCAATGGAGACTAGGCTCTAAGAAAAGCTGTCTCGGGTGTGGACCAATCAAATTCAAGGACAGTGCATATTATTATCAGAGTTGTCTTTTTTGTTTGCATTTTGACTGCTTGTGTTGTGGTTATAGCAAACATGATGCCTTGAATAAAGGTGTCAGTTTTTGTGCCAGTTAAAAGGGTAAAACCTATTCCAACATAAATATTCTTTTTGGATTTAGAAATCTGGAATATTCTCAGTCAGTGGACGTATTTCAAGCTCAGCATAACTTCAACAGAAGAGATATTGTACTTTAAAATAATATTATGCACAACAACTCGGTGTGCGGTGATATCACTAAATAAATGCAACGCAAGAATTACAACCAGGACAATGAGAATTTCACGTAGCCACAACAGTTCAAATCGCTCCTTAGAATGCTACTATAGCTGTTAGAATACCACAGATAGACGATTACATGTTGACTCCACTCATTCGACTTGGACATTACGAGCTTACATTTTTTCATTTATTGTGACTTATTCTACGGTATGAAAAAAAAACGCAATCAAAATTGCGTTCCATCTTGTCGGTGTTTAAGCCAAATGCCATTTCAGATCCTAAAGCCTTGGACTTGCGCCGAAAAAGTGCAGTGGCAAATTGCCATCTCGTAGCTGAACAATCACGTGGTGCACTTTAAGCCCCGCTCTTCCAAGACTGCAGCTGTGCTGTAGCATCATAGATACAAACGCTCCGCCGTATAACTCCTTAAAGTTCAGCCGTTTGTCTATCCAATGCTGGATGAAGCCCCCTCCCCCCTTACACCGTGGCAGTCGTGCAAGTCGCTTGACTGTGTGCGGGGTTATTTGCCCACGGTGGTCGCTGTGTGCCTTCGTCAAGAGTCACACGACCAGGACACCTCACAACTCGCCACAATATTTGCCCCTGGGTGGGAAGCGAATACGCATCCGTGTGGCTTTTGTTTGTAGTGCAGCGTGTGACAAACTGCACATCTGCTGTACCCAGCATTACATTTTTAACGTTTTTTAATATCGGTCATTTCGTAATGGACGGAAATGCCCATGTAATAAAGTAGCATTTTGCTATATTTAAAAGACACCTCCAATGTGTGGTGAAGAGTGTTCACATTGGAGTCCCGAGTGACCACGGTTCGTTTTAGTGGACTTCGTGGCATTTTTGTCAAGTAGCAGAAACTGATTGAATCGGATTCCAGGGCTGATCCTGCTTCCAAATGTAGGACATTTGACAGTGATTTATGAATTTTGTAAGGCTGATTGTTAGAATTGGCAAACCGATCAATGCTGTTTGTTTCTGATAAAGCTTAAACATCTTTGCAATGTTGGGCCCAATGCAGAAATTGGCAACACAATGGCTCGCTGATTTCCCCCATTTACTTTTAATGGCATTTTTTGGTTGTCCAAAATCATACGCGTGCTCTCACACTCGGCAATATGGGAAGCAACCCGTCTGTTTCTGATGCAGCGTCGTCGGGATGTGACGCCACACTTCGTCCTTGTTACACTTGCCTTGGCACATTCTTTTATATGTTGTACCCTTTTAAACTTAGCCACAGTGAGGCTTTTGTCAAAATTATACTACTTTGAATTTATTTCACAACCAGCCTTCTGTGACAGGGTTTCTGGGGTAAGGTCATTGGGCCTATTTCACCTCCCACGTCTGGTGAATAATTTCTTGCATTTTCTTTTGCAAATGCAGCGCGCGTGGCAGGGTCAATTCTGTACGCAGCCAACGTCAGCGGTGCAGCCATGGGCCTCAACCTCGGCCCTCTCGCGTGTCGCAGCAGGAGATACGAAGACACCGTTCACATTCCCGTCTGATTTGTGGGGACCAAGGAGGGATGGAATCTTAAGTTCCATAGAATCACTCGGTGCTGGACAGCATGTCCCTGGCGGTGCCGTGAGATGTAGAAAGATGTAGAGAGTGTGCCTGGCATCCTACCCACAATAATGTTTCATAGCTAGCAGTAACACAATTATATAACTCGTGTACTAGTACGAATTCCACCCAACAGAATGGATGGGGACACCACAGCTGATCCGACTGGTGGATCGCGAGTGGTGGGGTGCAGTGTGGGTGCCCCCATGTCTTCCGGGACGTCTGGCCAACGTGAAAGAGTAGGCAAAGTAGGGGCCCTTCCACAAGTCCCGGCACAAGTAAGCGGTTATCTAAATCCACTGATTAATAATATAGAATATATCCACTGATTAATAATATATACTTTTGGGTCATGCAGTGTCATGGCATGTGTGCTGTGACTAATCTGCCCCGCAGACACTCCGTAACTATACGGCAGCAGTAGAAGTAAACTCAACCTGTCGTCATTGATGCTAGGTGAAGGGAAAACTATATATCGTGCTCCTCACAATATAACTTGGTATCGGTATCTCTGTTATCTTTACTACCTCGGATAAATGGGACATTCAACAGTTAATTTGTGCTTGTGCGCGACAGTCCTGCAGATGTTGTCCTTTAACTTATTGTGTAAAGTAAAATAATTCTTAATATAAATGAATTAACCTTAATAGGTTTGTGTTTTTATCAGCCCACGTGTACTTTTGTTGAGTCGGAAGGATAGATATAGCCTTCGTCAGGGAGGGAGGTTCAATGTGGCATTGTTTAACACATTCGGAATGCACAGTGGACACTTTTGCTGGTGCTGAAGAATTAGTCGGAGCCACGGCCTCACGTGCTGCGGTGCGTCTCGCATGACCCAGTCCATCACTCGGTGACCCACGGCTCCATGATTTTACTTAAAATCTGTAAAATCAGCTGTCAGAGCTTTGTGAGTTACATTCGATATCGTATGTCACTGGTCACGTTGAAATGTTTCCCAGCTGACTATCAGCTGACTTGCTGTCACAAGGATACTGCTTTACAAAGGCTGCTGATGTTTATGCTCTGACACATAAAGCCCGCCCAGTGTTCTTTAAAACCGTGCGTATTGAAGAGTGCCAGATATCAGGTTATGCAAGACAGTGTCAAATGCATTAATATGTAAGACAATATATTGTAACGTACATTTATGTAATCGACATAATTTTACTTTAATTGGTCATGTACCCACCACACTGCTAAAACAGTGAGTTGGAATCTGGTATGGCTTGGTGGTGGGGAAGTTGATATCCTATTACTTTACAATCAAAATGATAATTTCAGCCCTCTATCATTCGACCACGTCAGTCATGGGTTTTTTTTATTGACCATACTTCACCACAATGGTCAGTGTGGCGTGGAAAAGTGGGGGCCCAGAACCGGTTTAGATATAACTCCCCATTGACATGATGGGTTCATAGCGCAGTGCACTCACAACTGCACCACCACTCTTCAAATTACCAAAATGCAATGCCCACGAATTTAGTTGCCAACTACAGTACTGCGAGTTAAAATACAGGTTTAGTGGGTTCCAGGAGACTTGCGACGTAACACTTTTATTTAGAACGTAACACAGTACCCCACTCTCTATGGAGGTACAGCCTCCGGGCTAGCATGCCCTATCACTCGGGGTAACTAGAGCCCTCTGGCTAGGGGTGCCCTAGGGGAGACTGACTGACCCGACCCAGCCAAGGTACGGGTCCCGACCACTGGTCCACGCTCGGCCCCGGCCCTTACAAGGACGTCGGATCCCAGCCCAGCTGGTCTTCGATCTTCGTAGCACTGCCTCAAGCCGACCTGAGAGCCGCCCTTTATACCTGTCCCGGGGACTCTCCGCCCCCGGTACTGCCCCCTTTCTGGAATCTTCCAGAGGATCCTGGAAAGGCCCCCCCCAGCCCCTCACCTGGGGTAGGGGAGGGGAAACCAGCCTCTTTGGTCCGGCTCTCTCTCTCTATCCCCTTGTACAGGCTGGCACACCCTACAGACCTCTGACCATAACTGCAGGTAAGTGGACATGGGCGGTGTGTGCATACGCGTTCCCGACGCTACACCAGCATTGCTATTAAAACTGATATTTTATCCATGATTTCACTGCTAGTTTGCATTTTTATTATGAGAGAATGGATCTCAAACGCTAATACACGTCCACTTGGCAATATTCATCAGAACCATGATAGATGCCAGGAAATATAAATATATATGGATTTTGATTTAAAGCTTTCGTGACTGCAGTAATTCATATTCTTAGTTTTTTCGGTAAAGTCACGTTGAAGAGAAACAACAAAATAATAAAATATATATAAAACAATAAAAAAATTCTCACGACGTTTCGACCATAACTCAAACGGTCATCTTCAGGTGTGTTGGTTTGATATCCAATTACTGAAATCCTGCGTCCTTTCACTGGAAAGACCACCTCTGCGGTACAAAATTCTACTCACCTGGTATCGACAATCAAGGGTATTTCCCTGTCCCCAGACGACCTGCTTGTCAGTTTTGATGTAGTTTCCTTATTCACCAAGGTTCCTGTACCTGACACCATTGCAATCATTGAAGACTTGGTTCATCAAGGACTAAACACTGAGGTACCCCCCTTGGTGAGACACTGTTTAACCAATACATACTTCACTTGGAATGGAACTTTCTACAAACAAACTGAGGGCACCCCAATGGGCTCCCCCCTTTCTCCAGTTATAGCTAACATTTTCATGGAGAAATTTGAGACTGACGCCATCCAGACTGCCACTCTGCGCCCAACCTTATGGAAGAGGTACGTGGATGACACTTTTGTCATCTGGCCACATGGCCGGCCTGCTCTAGACCAATTCTTCGACCACATCAATTCCATACACCCAGCCATCAGATTTACCATGGAAGTCGAAA